TAGTTTTCTAATAATTATCATAATATGCATGGATGTGATGCAACAAAATCCTACTAGTATACATATTGTATCGAGTAATAAAGTGTAAGTGGAGTATCGATCCCACGAGGACTAGTTTACTACAAATTATCCGAAACTAATTTATTCGGGGAACAAAAACCAAATATCCAAATATGATTGTGTAACGAGAGACGAGAGTAACTCAAAAAATACTAACAGATAAAATATGCAGTTTAACAAGAAACACAAACCACAAAGTACAATGCGAAAAAAGCTCTAGGGAATTTTTTGGAATTCATTAAACATCATATGTAAATAGAGTGTCTACTAATCAATTTAATCTCGTAATTTCACGACCAAGATAATCACTAAAATGTGAATCTCCATGTCAGGACCCATCACGTACAATCGAAAAATTCATACTCACCAGAATTAATAAATAGTCCGAGAGGACCAATCATCTCTACTTATGAAGTTATGATCGCACAATTCTTCATTTCCACACTCGCTTCAATAAATTATTTATATAGGTGTGGCAACGTTATATTTTTAGATTTTCCTTTCTGAGTACTTGCTAAAGAGGACAACACATAAAAGATCATAATCATATATCACGTAATAGAAACACATTATTTTCCATATATCAGAATGGATATCCACAATCGAGGACTCTATAAGATATAGAGGCATCTTATTCCAAGCACAATTACATATGAGTAGAGACTAGAGAAACATCAACTTTCTTTCAGACAAATCCTAAAAGCAAACTCGATAGGAACCTCATAAAGCCTCTCACTCTGTTTCATAGCGATGAACACTTTAGTAGTACCCGTACACCGGCGACCAACAAACTATAAAAAAAAAAAAAAAAAAGAAGACAACATTTCATTCATTCAAGTATGCATAATAGTGTGGCATCGTTGCTCATGGATCGCCGACGGCCGGAATCTCTGTCGGCGGCACGAAAATGGGTTGACAACAGGAATCGCACTTGGAAGGATCAGCGCTGTCACATGATCCACAACAACCGTAATCGCCGCAATAAGTATCGCCATCGCATGTAAGCTCGGGCTTTGCAACTGCTATGCCGGCGGCGACGAGGGTTCCTCTTTTTGTCGCCGCCGTCTTCTCCGGGTGGACATGGCTCCTAGCTGCAGCCGCAGATATGACCAGAAAAGCCAGGAGGAGAAGGAAACCGGCCTTTCTGAGATTCATTTTCGAGACAGAAAAATGGAAGAGAATGTTAATTCCAACTTTAATTAATTGCCGGATTGATTAAGGACTCGTCGAATTGTGGGGTTATATATATTGGTCCAAACTGGGAATTATGCCATTTGAATTTCTTGTATTCCCGTGGATAACTAAGCCTTCGTGCCGAGTAATTTTTAAATATGTGTTTGTTTCTGCCGCCTAAAATTAAAATTTCAGGATTTTTAAAGCTTATATACGGCGAAAAATTAGAGAAAGTAAAGTCGATGGAATATACAAGAATTTCTTTGTTAATAGATTGATTGTTGGTGTGAAGTGAATGCTGAATAGTATTTTTAGTTGTGAATTGATTATTGTAGTTTGAGAAATAATTATTTCTAGTATAAGGATAATTGTTTCTCAACATAGCATACCTTGTGCTAAATCATTTAGTATGTTGTAGGTCGTTGTAAGGATACGAACACGAACCTTTGGATCGAAAGTGTTGATACCATTTTTTTCTATCAGAAGGCTCTTGTACCATGTTAACGAACAAACCATTTAGTTATGTTTACAGTTATCTCTATGTTTTGATGATTATGGTTATTTTTCAAGTAAAAGGGATCTTGGATAAGGACACCCTCTCTCTCCTTTCAGTTTCATCAGAAGAACCTATATAAGATTTTGAACAAACTAAGAGAGTACGTGTAACCATTTTGCTATAGATATGGGACAAGGATTAGAGATAGCTACAACATTTGTAAGATGTTGATACATTATCTTTGTAAGAAATTAGAGAATCACGTGCGTGTTTACTTTAATGATGTCGAAGATAACTCATCATTGTGGGTACCAAGCTGAAGTTAATTCGATTTTACTAGTGAAAATCCCGTCAACATTAATTTTTAAGATGAGTTTTCCTTGAATCCGATACCAAAAGTAGTGATTTTGATACGAGTTTAATATTTTAAATATTTGCACTAAACTTATCCGATTACATGTTATAACTCATAAGTATATGCTCTTAACCTCACTAATTAGTCTCACTTAGACATTTTGGTCATCCATATGATTCAGTAGATATATTTATCTCTTAGACTACTCACTCTCTTTCATTTGTCCAAACACCAAACAATATTTTTTTTATAAAATAAATAACTTCCACATTCTTAACAAATTTTAACACTAAATCGAGAACTCTAAATTTACAACCATGATTACTATTTGTGGTAGGGGAGATCAACGTCATTCTTCTTACTTCGCCAACATTTTTCAGTTTGAGATGGAGCATTTTCAGCTGCCTATCTTGGACTCTCTTTTGGAGTCGAGTCAACGGCTTGAAACTTGGTATGCAAGTTTTTTTATCCTTGTTGGTCACGTTACTCTGCTAAAGACTCTGTCAACCAGTTTATCAATCATTAGATATGCCTATCCTAACAGCCACCGCTTTGGTGAATTGCCACCCACCAATACAACAAACCCACATGGCAGCTATACTGACTGTATCTCAGGTCTCTAGACTCTAATGTCCAATCTTAGCAAGAAGCTCTGAACTGTGCATCTAATAGAAACCCACCAATAAACAGCAAATAGAAAAAGCCACCAATAGGGAGATGTATCATAACTCACAGCCACAGAGAGGAGAGAAATGCATTCTGCAATCTGCAATTCCTCCTTAATTCAAAGAATTCAATGAGAAAGAACAGAAAACCAGTACTGAACCACTAAGATCACCATCTCTGGCTCCAAGCGTTTTGATCATCCAATGGAATGCAAAGATAGAAACTTCACCACAACCCAACATTGGTAACGTTATCACAAGAAAATAGGCATCCGAGTTTCTGTTATGCAGGACACAGAATGGAGTATTACGAGTACTCAAGATTGGACCTTTTCCTGTTCATCTAAGAGAATGAACTGCTCAGCAAAGCATCAAATTTCCCATTTCACAACATCGATAACATTCATTATAGCAAAAAGACTGCGCCAATGCATCATCAGCTAGCAAACGCAGTCGAACAAAACTCGTGGAAATACAAATGTTACAAGCAGGCAACCATGACCAAAACTTCAGGGGTGGGTTGATTGCCCATCTTCCCTCTACTTGTGTATAGCACAAAAGTTACCCTATCTACATTCTCCACCTAAACAACTAGCTACACCTAAACAAAGAAGTGAAGGAAAAAAAGGGGGGAAAGCAATAGAAGAGCTAATCTGTTAAGCCAGAGTCGTCTTGTTGCTGCTGGCTGGTTTTGTGTTGCTGCTGCTGCTGCCGTTGTTGGCCGGCAAGAAAATCCACAACCTCCTGGCGGCCGACGACCTCGACCCTGTTGACGCCGACCATCGCCACCACCGCGGAAGTCTTTATCCCGTACTTGGCCGCTGTCTCCACCGCGAAGGACGAGATTCGCTGCGCCAGCTCCTCGCGCGCCGACTCGTCCTCCGCGCATCCGCCGCCGCCGATCACGTTCCTCAGCGCCCGGCTGACGAATTCCTTTCTCAGCGAGGCGGAGCGGAAGGCGTCGGGCGGGAACTTGAACCCCCGGCGGACCTCCGGGACGGTGACGTCGTCCAATTGGACGTTGACGCCCTCGCTGGTCGGGAGCTGGAGCTGGTACCTGTACCTCAGGGCAACTACGAGCTTCGCAGTGGGATCGAAGGGGATGACGTCGCCTGCCGTGGAGCCGTACAGGTGCAGAGAGTAAGCTGTTGAGACCGACATGGAAAATTTATTTCTGTTTCCTTTTGACGGGAGGCGGCGAGGGAAGGAAGGAATTTCAGATTTGAGAAAATGGCGATCGGCGGTTCTGTAGTAGAATGGGTTCCAGATTTATCATTTATAGAGAGAGAAGGAAAGAATTGAAAACGAAGTTTAGGGCTTTCCTTGTCCTTGTAGGGAACGGAACATAAAGCGGCAAATCGAAATTTTCAGAAAACTTAAAATGGTGGAATGACGCGGTTGATTCCTTTTTTTCGTTCTGGATTTCACTTTTCTGGTTCGAATTTTGTTCCTTGGTTGGGCTTTTTTTGGGATCCATAATCATGTGGGAGATGGAGAGGTCCATTCACATGGATTTGGCTCACATTGTTTTGCATGAGCAATTGAAGCATCTTCTCATAATTATTTATTTTTTTATTTATTTTTTTAACAAATTCTCACTACCACGTTTCTTAAATTAAATCTAACAATATCTATGTTTAGAAATGAAAAAAGAAGTTATGAGAAGTGCAAACAATTTGGTGTGAGCACTAAGGCAAGTTGTATTCACATGACAATTTTGGATACTATTCTCACACTAATTTTTGTGAGAACTGAATTTGACAATCCAATCATAGAGGCATAAAATATCATTAATCTCAATTTTGACCTATAGACGGTAATCCTAAGCGCCGACATGGTTCTATTTTCTGCTATAGAATATCACAAGTACAAGTAGGCTAGATACAAAAATGGTTCATGCCACCGAGCCAACAAGGATTGGTCACCCAAACTCATGATTCACCTTCATGGTCATCTACTTGAAAATTGAAATGCATCTTTGCTAACACATCCTTGAAACAGTTCAATATAGGCGGGGGTGTGCAACGTTCCGTCCGAATCTTATGAGAACGACGGTACAATAGTGAAAGACATTAGGATCAACAACAGAACTAACAGTGCACTAAATCCAATTCATTTTTCTTTAGTACTTATAAATTCATGGAAGCAAAGACCTAACCACATTATATTCAATTCAATATGATGTGATTCAAGTGTCGATATGGTCTGGTACGATGCAGTACGAACAACCCATTGCACACTCCTCATTATAGGGCAACCTTTGTTGAGTTTTCATTTCAATCATATCAAGTTTGAAAATGTGTCGAGAAGAGCTGGAACAGCAAAATAACAACGGCCAAGAAACTTTTCCTTTTCCAGGTATTTGTAAGACTAACTACACTTTTGTAAGATCTTATAGTTGATAAGTTAACTAAGCAAAACCAGTACTTGCATATGGTTATGGCTTGCTCCTGTCAGGCATGTTTTCCTTGGGCCTCCATAATTCCTTTGACCACCCAAAGTTCCACAAACCCTACTACCTCCCTAAATCTTGACAGATTTCCATATATACGAGAAGTCAGAAAATCCCAGGACCTATTGCTCATCACTACTCTTCTTCCACTCCCATATAACATTGTACCCTAGTTCCGAGTCCATCCCGGTTGCAGAAGCGCCATCGCCACTCGCTCCTTCCTCAACAAGCCTCGCCTCCTTGCTCTTGAAAACGGCAATCTGAGAAGCAAACCCTGGTTCGACACCATCAGTGCCACCAACACCTCCAAACACGACATTGTAATTGTGTTTCTCGGCCAGCTGGCACGCCCATTCACTGAACTGCTGTCTTGTCCACTCGAACTTGTGGTCGAAGTTCCGAAACTTGCAGGTCTGGGAGTGGACTTTCTCGTCCGAATCTTCCTCTTGGCTTCCCGCCGACTTTTGAAGGATCACATTGTACTCGTAGTTGGGGGTGGAAACAATGAGGATCTTGGGACGAAAATAACTCAATACCACATCTCCAAACAGACTGGCATCCTCTTCCTCCATATGCTCAATCACCTACAAAACCCAAAATCTCAACCGCAGTTTTAGAAATGCAAAGACAAACATCACCATCACGGGTGTGTTTGTTTTGGCTGTAAACGAGTATGTTCAAGAGAAGTTTACTTGAAAGTTGAAACAAGCACATATTTTCAATCCAGCATTTTTAAACCAACTATTTAACCTAAATTCCTACATATAAAACCTATCTCACTAATAAATTTTTCATTTGCCCCTACAAATTAAAACTAGTCTTAAAGTTATAAAGATAATATTCATTTCTCGAAACCCAATCGTCTCTTTCTTATTAAACAAACTATCTAGCATTCCATTAATAATCAAACTATTTATTCACGTCTCTAACACTTGAGAAACAAAAAAAAAGTATTTTTAGGCAAAAGCTTAAGCAAACACGCCCCTGATAGTTACACAAGAGAGAGTGGGAGGTCAGAGATTAAGATCAAACCTCTAAGCAAGTGGCAATATCAAAACCACACAGCCGTGGATCGTGAACAGTGATGGAACCATCGTATAGAATTGCAGATTTGACAGCAATGTCGGTGTTTGCAGCAAGCTTGGAATGAAGAATCTAAGGAAATTGAGAACATGGGAAGAATATTTGTAAGCCAGATCAGTTTATGATAGGAAGGGCATTATTCTACGATAGGAATAAAGCACAGTATTCAGTCTCCGGACCTTAGCAGCACGGCTAAGACTCTTCCTGGATATGTCTACACCAACAATTGTCTCCAGAGAAATTGGATAATCTAATAGTGAATCCAACAAACTTCCGGATCCACATCCAAAGTCAACCTAGAAAATATGAGTAGTATTTTCAGAGAACAACTCCATGTACTTAACTCACAAGTCACAATTTTACCCGATTAGAATTCAAAGCCACCTACTAGGGAAGCAGCAGAAGAATTTCTGATATGCTGGACAGCATATTCCACCCGTTGCTTTGAGAGCGGAGGACTGAAAAGAGCCTGCTCCATTCTTTCTTCAGGAGGTTCAGTTACATGCAACAAGGAAACTGAATATTGCAAGTAACAATTATCTGCAGGACCAGTAACAGAATAAAGTTCACTATTAGACATCAGAATTAAGGCCAACGGCAGAAGGCATTCAAGGAGAATATGCACAATGATGAATCTTACTAGGGTAGTTTAGAGTTTTAACTATTAGCTGGATGATAGGCCCTTATATTATGTTACTGAATGGGAAAAGGCACTGAAACATCGCACTCATAGCAAATCTAAAGCTCCTAATTCCTAAAGGATGTTCTATCCTATTCACGATTCAGTGAGAAGTTGACGAGGAGGGATAAAAGGCTGTTCAAATTTAGGAAGCACCTAAAAGAACTGGTTTCTCCCCAAAAAAAATCAACAGAACGGATGGGAGAAACTTATATCAGTATTCATTAAACCCCATAAATCAGTGTTCAGAAAACATGCGAGTAAATGACAGAACGGAAAATAATATATTGGAGATTTGAGGAGAAAATGGGAGCAACTTACGCGAAGACATAAATGAAAGTATCCTTCCAGAATCAGTCCCTGCAGCTAAAACAAAATATTCAGGGGGTAGCCTCGTATTGAAGAGAGCAGACTGACCAACTGACAATTGTGTCACAACAGCCTCAAGGGAGGAAACAACTGCTCCAGTGCCCATCTCAAACTCAAACTCATCCTTCTGTTCAAGAAGTTCTTTCATTTCTTTGCCTTCTGTTGCTAAAATAACAGAATAGCTTACACACAGTAGAGATCCATTAGATGGATATGCACCAGAATCACAACCTTCTACTCTCAATGAGAATACACCATGTTCTGATAGAGAATACAACATATCTGCACATTTTGATTCTAATAGTTTTTGTTCAGCATTCCTCCCGATGCTATTATCGCCAACATATGGATAAAGCACAAACTCTCTAAAGAAAAGTTCAGGATAAAGTTGGATACCAAGGTTTTCTCCATAAGAGCTTAGCTGTTCTAAGGGAATGCCAAAGTTGTTAAAGTATGCAGTCAACCATGAGAGAACTTTCAGAGAAGCATTGTGAACGGAATCACTCTGCTTCTTATATAGATCAGTAGGTGAGCACTCCATGAGCAAATCCCGACGCTTGGAATATATCTTTATTTCACATCTAAAAGTGCTCCCAGACTCCATTGAGTCTGTCTCACCAGTAGCATTAGTAGGTCTCTCATTCAGACATTCCATTTCTGATGTGGATGTATCTTTGAGTTTCACCTTTTTGTGCACCCTTGATAAACAGTTTTCAGGTGAAGGCAAACTTATAACAGAGAATGCAGGTTCAGACAATCGGTGCAGACGGCAGAAAGTACTGAGAACTTCTTTTGGAAATGAACCCCTCCAATATGCTTTTGTTGTAAACCGCGAAGGCAATTCTGCTGCAAGCACAGCTTCTCTTGACAACTTATAAGTTCCACCTGGAAATGTGCTGACTAGTAACCTGCCAAACAAAACATAACATTTGAGAATAACTACTTTTTCAGTGTAATTCTGGCGGCATGCTAACATATAATTTATGTTGAGGATGTCAGAGGTTTGTTCAGACAAATAGTTCAAAGCAGCAATACAACAAGAGTATACACAAAGGATGTGAAGATTAAAACCCAAATAAATTGAACTTCAGAGAAGTAAGAGACCTGTAATACAATTGTAAGGTCAAATTCTCATGAAAGAGGTCTTTAGACCTCCAAGTGTATCCAAGGGAAGCCATAATAGCATCACCATGGACAACTTGGCCACAGAAGTAACTTGCTCTTGCATTTAATGATCCTTCTAGGGGATTGTCTTTTACTGCACCAGGGTCTGAGGACACCTCCAACAGATGATATCCAGGGGCAGCAAAGTATAATCTAGTCTCTGAAGAAGCTTTACCAAGTGTCCTGTAGATACATGTTAAGACACTTTCAGAAATAAAAGCACCAAAAAATTTCCTGTAACTGGACTGAACACCTAAGGCATTTGTTATCACGTGGCATGCAATCAGAATTAAACATATAGTCTATGCATTACAGGGAAACCATCCCTTACACGTACAGCAGTCACCACCCACCTTGACAGTAAAATCCTATCGCCATTTTCAACGCCAAGCTTCTCTGCAATAATGTCCATGTAATAACCAGATGAAGACAAATGAAGAGTCACTTGTCGAACGTGTTCATCGAGCGAAGATGGTATATAAATAGCATCAACCGATATCCTTTCAGAAGAATCAGACTGTTGAACACTAGAGGAGTAAAACACCTCAGGAGGGTACGGACTCAGTCTCTGAAGTGAAAGTCGACTTTCGGACACTAAAACAGAGGAGGACAACCTCGTCGCAGCACTTGTAATGATTGGCAAAGCAAGGAAAGGATTAGAATCCACCTTGGGATTCAGTGATTTACATATATTGCTCAACTTTGTGTCAAAGGTGGCAAAAACTGAAGAGGGCACTGAACCACAAAGATCACCAGCTCTGCGAGAAGCTCCTCTAAGGTGACCAGTCAATGGATGCGAAGACGAAAGGAACTTCACCAATCACCACAGCCAAACACGAAATTCAAAAGACTTGTCAGTATGGTTACTGGCCAAGCTATCAACAAGAACATGGACAAGCATGTCACAATAATCATAAGATAACTGAGGTATCTAAAAGCTTCATACTTAAAAAATTTAAGCATAGCACAAAATGCAGCCAAGGAACGATATCCTCGTACAAAGAGCCCATGTCAAAATACCCAAAACCTTCAAAAAGACAAGCACGTATGCATTTGCTGATCCCACTAAGGATTAGCATGGGCTAAATTACGAGCATTTCACATCTATCAAGGGTTGGAACTTGCTAAGCCGCATATTTCTGCACAAACCTCTTCTGAGAATAAGTACTTGAGCCGTTGAACTAAGGCATCACATAGATCCATTGCAGTTGGATTATCAGTTGCAGGATGGATACCTAGCTGCAGCAGCAAGCAACAAATAATATACATAAGCAGCAGAATCAGAGAAGACAAAAATAAAATTGAAAATTAGGTAGCAAAAAACAACACCCGACAAGACTTAGATAACCAAATTCTCACTTTCCCCATCAGCACGATTGACATTTTCGTCCACACACCAGAAAGCAACAAAGGCATAACGCTGACAGAGTCAAATTCAGAAAAATTAAAATGCAAAATTTCATTTGACAGCCTACTGAATGAGAACGACAAACAGAACCTTCTTCAAAGCCATCTCGGCTGCAGATTGCTCAGCTTCCTTCTTCTTTTTGAAAGTATCGGTGACGATCAAAACATCAGGGAGTTCCAATCTGCAGCGGTAAAGAGACGGTCCCTTCTGTGGGATACACAACCCAGGGCATTCACTCTGTGTAGGCTCCTGAACTTCCTCCACTGTGTAACATGCCTTGGGACCGAACTTCTGATGGATAATAGCCTTTGGAGTAAGATTCATCTTCCTCACCGTCACTGCTACAGATCCTTGGCCTTCCATTTTCAATTCCTGTAGAAATCAAACGGCTATCCGTGAGTAGATTGTCAAAGTAAAGGCCAATCAAATGAACAAAATCGGAGCGCACTGTCTCCCGTACATGGCGATTTGTGTGGTTTCTAGTCGCGGAAAACGACAAAAAAATCTCTCGCTAGAATCCGTTTTCCCGGATTTTCTCAGGAAACAACCAGAAGCATTCGGCCATAGACTCGAAACAGGGAATTAAAAGCGGCTAAATAAGAGAAAATGAGCGCACAGCAAAGAGCAAGAATCCTCAGAAACGAAAGGGCAAAGAGAAGTGCAGTGCATTTCGGAGAAAAAGCAACTCGTGGAGCTTGCATAAGAACAGAAATCGCCGAGAGATTTTGAAGCCGGAGATGGAAGAGGCATTTCGGAACTGTGAGCTACAACCGGAAGGAGAAAGAGGGAAGGAAGAGAAACCTCGCGTGGCATTCACAATCACGACGAACGCGTGAGTCTCCGTGAAGGCGGCAGAGGTGGGACGGCTGCTCCGGCGTCGGCAACGATCTCTGCGAGCGGGCGCCGCGTGGTCTGAGTAGGTGAGAGGACGGAGCAGCAGAAGAAGTGCTGGGGAACTGTCAGAGAAGATGAAGAGCGGGGGGGTTTTGGCGTTTGGGGTTTTATTGGGAAGGTAAGGAAACGGTGAACGGGGAAAGGAGGGAAAAAAGGACCATTTTTCTATTTTTTTTTATTTTAATTCTTCGGCTACGGTGTGGCCTACCTTTATAAATTACAAACAGGTGAACGGAGTACCCACGTCGACAAAATGAAAACGGAAAATACTGTTTTTACTTTTTACGCTATAGCCGGATTAGCAGGATCGTCTGGGCTTCCGATATAGACAGTCCTATAGTTAGTTGCCATGGGCCCGATCCCGGGTTGGATCACATCCTTAAGCCCCAAACTTAAGAAGTTGCTTAAGCTTTGGCTAGCCAATAGGAAGAGGAGAGAGAGGAGAGGAAGGTAACCAACTAAAAGGGCAAATAGGGTAGTTTGGTTAATTATTAGATGTTAATAATAATAATAATTAGTGGTGTAAAAATCCAAAACGTTTCCCACTCCCCTAAAATCCGCCACTTCCCCATTAAATAGAAATTCAAAATTAGTGCAGTTAAATAAATAATATTATTTAATCTTTAATGAAAATCGAAATTAGTAGTTAATATTTTAAAACTGCAAATTCGAAATTAGAAAATCTCTATTCTCTATGTGCGACTAGCAGTGACGTTATTAACGCTTTTCAATGACATTAGCAACGTTTCTCAAATGAATTATTATCGATATACTTCATCGGTACTAACAATGTTAATATACCATTAATGGTTTTACAATTACATTATTGATGATTTTATTTCAACTGCTAATATCCATTTTTTTATCAACGCTTATGAATGAATTATGAAAGTTATGTTATATCATCGTTAACAGTTTGAATAACATTATTATTTATTTACAACATATTTATTGACAATTCATGTTTTCACGTCATGTTCATAACCAGTCAATCATGGTCTCTTACAAGGACTTTCACTGATATTATTAATAGTTTGAGACTAATTGATATTGTTTTACGTTGTCATTCTCATCGATCATAAAACACAATGCTTATTTTCAACATCCTCGACACTCGTGACATCTTGCACCTGTGATTCACTAAACAAAATATTAGTTCATGGTGGTGCAAAACTTTAGTCAAGCAAACCAACATTCACACCCCATAACCAAAACCGTTAATAATGGTACAACGAATCATTGATAATAAAATTGTATTTCGTTGAAAGCAAGCACAAAACATTAATAATATTCAAACTTATTGTTAAATATCAAATACCATCTATAACTAATTGTTAAAAAAAAATCTATAACTTTCATATGATTGTGGTATTTTGTTAAAAACAATAAAAAAATGTTAACTTTAAAAATGACCTCTGACCGTTAATAACGGTATTGTAAATTATTAATAAATAGGTTGTGTTTTGTTGGACATGCAAGCAAAATCATTAACAATGGTGAGATTCAATTGTTATTAACCACATAATATGTGTTATTAATAAGTCTTTACAACAAAATAGCAACGACATATAGTAGCAGTATTATCATTTTATAAGTAATTTTGTGGTGTTTCTCGTACTCATTATCAACAATATCTCGTAGATTTTTCAAATAACTCATAGAACATTTACAATAACTAGCCATTAACTTATTAACAATTTCAGCCCAATTGTTATCGACATAATATAATGTTGTCAACATTTATGCGCGGTATTATTAACAATATACATCATCATTATTATTGGCATTATTGATGTAATATAATATTGTCAACATTTATGCGCAGTATCATTAACGATATACATCATCACTATTATTGGCGTTTTACGAAATCATCATCAATGATATCTAGCTATTTTAACGTAAACCATAGAACGTTTACAATGACTAAAATTAAATTATTCACACTTTAGGACAAATTATTATCTATGTAATGTAAGGTTATCCACGTTTATGCGAAGTATATTAATAGTATAAAATATCGCTATTATGGTTTCACAAACAGTTAGATGATTGTCAAACCTAATAATGCGAACTTTTCCCACCATATCATTGAAAACTGAACGAACAACAATTAACAACTTGTCAAAAAAGCATTGATAACAAAATATGTTCAATGCATTTATCTTAAGAACAGACGAAACGCAATGATTGGCGGCAGTCTCCGTCACGTTGTCGAGCGGAGGAAAGACGAAGTCGAGGGCGAAGCTGGTGGACTCACCGACTGAGATGGAGGCGATGAGGAATCCGCAGGAGCCTCGTCTTGAGTGACTGGTGCCGTCCGTGGTTTGCCGACTAGGAGGGGAACAAAGGAGGAGATGCTGCCGAAGAAGGAAACAGCGTCGGATATGGAGAAGACGAGGACAAGGCCGGCGGAGACGTCGACCGCCGGGGAAAAGAAGTCAGAGACGAGGCTGGGGTCGGGTTTAGCTCCCCGCTTACTGGTGCTCTGCTTGCCGCCAGTTGTCGGAGCCGCAGAAAAAATCTACATGGTTGTTTAATCCAATAGAACAGTAGGAAAAAACCCTACATCAATTTTTTTTTATAAGCCTACAGCAAATTAACTAACGTAAAACATGGGATTATTATCAATAAATACAACAATAATTAATTAAATCAAAATTACAATTACAATGCCAATACTACCCCTAACTACCTAAAACCGGCTAACTACCCACTAACTATCCGCTAACTACTTAAGATTAATCTAATGGCCCATATTAACTTAAGGAACTTCTTAAGTTCAGAGGCTTAAGGATGTGAACCCATCCGCTGCCCAATGCTAATAAACCGTCCACATTAAATGTTGGTTTGGTTAACGGTTGGGTCATCGGTCGTGGGTTACCAATGGCCCGAAATGTGTGGGTCATTACAGAGTTCGAGTGAGTGATGCATAGAAAATGTTGGTTTGGTTTTTGACTTAAAAATGACTCGACTCGACTAGTCAATTGAGCTCTTACCTTTAGAGTAGGTTTTCATAAACCGAGTTATGCAAACCATATAATGCAAATATCGTGCCGTTCGCCACCGCACAGGCCAGGCTCCTCAACCCAGCCCCAAACCGATTATCAGCATTTAACCAATTCATATTCTCTTCAAATCCTGGCGCAAATGGACAGGGGGAGAGAGGGAGAGAAATCCAAAAGAAGGAAAGCGAATATATTCCAAGAAAATCTTCCTTGTGCTTGTTGGTGTGCTTTTTTGGGACGGATATGGGGAGAGATGAGAGGCGGTTTGGCCTTTGGCGTCTGAGATTCCGACTAACTAATAAAAAAAACTTTTGGTGTCACATTTGATTGAGATACATAACATAACCATTGCCTCTCGCTCGTTCATTATCGTCCAAAACAAAACATGGCTGCACTTGACAACTACCTAATCCACTTCTAATTTGTAAAAGTCCACTTGGACACTTCTTTCTACAGAGCATGGGTAGGCAGAATTCTAGTCTGTCATCTCCAACGGCAGGAGCACTCAGCTGATCGTCTGTGTATATCCATCAGCACAGATAGAAAACCGGCATTCCGTTCAGCTGGGCAGCCGTGAAATCTCTTGAAAGGGCGCACATTGCCACTAAAGCTCGTCTTGTCCAGAGTAATGGTGACGGAACACACAAGAGAAGTCCTCGCTCTCATGGCCATCCTTGCACACGCTCTCATATCTGCTCAAAGTTTTCACATCAAACCATAATCATATTGACTCTTACAAAAATGGTTCCACACACTCGAATCAAATGTCAGAAATACTTACATCTCTCCAGCTTGGGATGTCAAAGGGCATTCAATGCCAACATCTTTGGCAGATGCAGCAGCAAGGTTCAGGTCTTTAGACTGCAGCATGTCATTTGTTTAGTGAACAGTTCAACCTTTCATATGTAGTTATCAGAGATGATCGATTGTGTTTTGTTTCCTACCCACCATTAGTTTGGAGGCAAATCCACCAGCGTAGTTCCTCGAAGCGGGTACACCTTCCATCACTCCTGGAACTGGATTGTAGCTATCACTGCCATGTATGGGGTCTCATTTGGTTAGGAACTAAGTATGAGTCTAAACTATTTTTATGATGAGAACACACGATTAATGAAGTGAAGCTCCCAGCAGATACTAGGTAATGTGCCCATTCAAGCATTATACCTACTCCAGCATCGAGCACTTGAAGAGTTGAAAACTTGGGTCAGAGTGCTTGCATCAATTCCAAGGGACTGGCCAAGAGCTAGGGCTTCTGATACACCAAGCATACTAACAGCCATGGCCAAATTGTTGCATATCTTTGCAGCCTACAGAACCAATCGGGAAAGAAACCGAAAAAGGAGAGACGATGGTAAGAGAATTCTTAACTCAAAAAAGTGTTTGCTTTTAAGCACTTGTAGCAACTTACAGAACCAGTTCCTGCTCCTCCACAGTAGATTGTGTTTTTTCCCATTGAGTGAAATAGGGGTTTGGCAGACAGATAGGCTTCCTGGGAACCACCAACCTGGACATGATACCTTATTTGGATCATGAATTCCATGCAACATCAGGGAAGAAAACAAGCTTTTGGAGGGCACTACTGTCACAAATGTGGTTTTGCATATCATGCATCAAGGTATAGCATAGTTCACTGACCCCAAAGTTCAAACTCATGGTGGATAAGATGTTTTCCCGAACAACTACCGCTAGGTAACCTCCCACTGTTGATACAAAACCAACTCCTGGCTCTAGCAACATGGAAACTTAAACAGCACATAAACTCAGGAAAACTGCCACCTCTCCTACATTATTGTCACATTAGAACAGTGAGTTAACCTATGAGACTCTTTATCCAGCCATGCTCTCAGAACATTTCATCCACAAAAGTTGATAAGTGAAGGGGACAAACCATACCATGAAAGTAAGAGTACCAGCTTCTGCAGCAATCACACCTCCAGAAACTGGAGCATCCAACATCACAGGTTTCTTCCAATCATCTCCAGATATGCAAATTGTTTTCATTCAATACAAGGAGGAAGGGAGACATTTGCCGGAAATTGATGTCAGCACCAAATCGG